CGTGACAGTAACCTGCATCCATGATATATGTTTTTCAGAAAAGTGTTCTAGGGAAGGTAAAACAGAAAAGAATCAACCTCCTTCACAAGATTCTTCCTAAATGATTCATGTGGATGGGTCGAACCTTTCTCACATGTTTTCATGCATCACCAATCTAAATACATATCTAACAAACAGTATGACATAAATATAGCTACTTATATCTATATATTGTATAACGACTCACATATATGCAGCTATATTGTATAAAGACTCATAAATATGCATATATGAGCATTTAATCTTCTCTTGAATTAACAATGATTGCGAGAGAGAGAGAGAGAGAGAGAGAGAGAGAGAGAGAGAGAGAGGCCATGCTTTGCATCCCTAGTCCAAGCCTAACTCCCAGTGAACCTTGTGACTAAGCCCCATTCTATCATATGTGTTTGTCACCAAGCAGTAATGGCCAAGATGGCCAAAAATCAAAAACTTTATTAAAGTACTCCTGTGCACAGGTTACTTACTCAAGACTGAAACTACTACAATCTATTTCTACAGATGATAAGTGTAAGCCTATGTGCACCTGAACACAAGCTTCTGGTTGCAATTAAAGTTCAACTTCTAATGCAAGAACAATAAAGTAGTTTACCATTTCATGAAGTTCATTCCTCTAGCTGCAACTTCTTCTTTTGTCTCCCTGACATTTGCCTTCCACAAAGTGTCCTCATCGCTTGCTATCTAAACATAAATCAAGATTCAAGATCCAATCATATGCAAGGAAAAATCTGTTTGAAATATCTGGTCCATGACGAATGATAGCATTATATCACCCTAAATGACTGGTAGCAGAGATTTGAAACACTTGCCAGTGAAAAATCTATTGCAGGAAAAAGGCACTGGTACTCACTGATGCTTCTCCTCTTATCACATGGATGAACACCCTGCAACCAGATTATTCAATGAAAAAGATTCAGGCTTTTATATGAACATAGAAGTTATGCAAATAAAATCTGAATCTGGAGTAACATATTCTCCTCTACCACATACCCTCTAGTCTCTCATAAAAAAGAAAAAAAGGAAAATGGAAATTCGCTGGATTTAAGTGGAAGTAGTTGTGATATTTGAGTTCTATAAGCAATATTTAAGAGTTTAAAAAAATTCCCTTGACTTTTGAAAATATTTATTCAAGTCAACAAAAATTCAAACGTTAGGGTCACTTAATGTACATAATATACTTGGCAGAATTAAACTTCAAAGACAGCTGAACACTTTGCATACTTTAAATACTATATATCCCAATCCAACAAGAAGGGAAACTGTATACATAATTTCTAAACCATGTTAAGAAGCCTAATTAAGCATACAATCATGCAGACGTAAGCACATGCATACCACTAAAAATCCAAAAACAGATAAAGGTCTAGGAAATGAAAGACTTATTATTAGCAAACAAAGCAAGATTAAGAAAGAAAACTGGCTCAAAAGATGTACCATGAAATAATCTAACTAGATCAGCACGACACAAACAGAACAAGAAACTTAAAATTTGATGATCAATTTGTCAGATAGTACATTCAACTCTATTACAAGCATTTCAGAATAAGGATAACAGATAAATGCTCTGGAAATTGTCAAATTGCAGAAAAAGAAAATTGTTAAACTCGTATTTGTAACAGTGTTATGAAAACTTAATTAAATAATTAGTCAATTATGCTTATATAACATTTCACTGTTCAGTCCAGCAGAGCTTCGACTTTCTGCCCTAAGTAATTTCTCTTGCCTCAACAGCGTCAGAAAAAATAAAGCATTTGATCTTAGTAATTAAATCAAAGCTTCCTTTCTACCCCAGACTTGAACCAAGAAAATCAGAATGCTATCCACAACCACAAGAATGTTCACATTTAAAATCAAAAGTTGCACACATAACCTTCAAAGGACCTACCAAATGTTCTCGACAAAGTTCTAATGCAACAATAGGAGGACAATTAAGACTTGAAATTGCAGCACGCCGACTATTTCCTGCATTTGCCAACATGAGTGGCAGGGTATCCATCCTGTCTGTATAGCCATCACCACCAAATACCCCAACAGCAGTTTGCATAGTTCTGTAGTGTCAGGATAAATCATCATAACCAAAAGCATACAGTCAAGGCGCCAAGGCATGCCTTTTCATATCAGGTAAGAGCTTGTGTAGCAACTATTCAGTCAATCTATCATGGTTAACTTTAGTCTCCTTGAATCAGGGGACAGCAGGTATTGACAGCAATTAGCCTATAAAACGTCATCCCGTTGCACTTGAAAATGGCATACTCAACCATATGGGAATGGCATTGACAGACCACTCAAAAAAAAAAAAGACTAAAGAAACAGTCATTGATCTATAATTTAGAGGTACTATTAGGTTTTGAGGCTAGCTGCAGCCTAATTCTGCTGGAGTTTCTTTCTTCATTCAAGAAATTCAGTTTAGGTAGTTCAAGAAATGAAAATATGTATGTTTAAGCAATTGGATAGGCAAACCCAACATTGATTGCAAAAATGCCAGAATTGCTAGAGTTTGAGGAGTCATTCTTTCCAAAAATGATAGCTTATGGTAGTTAATACATGAAAAGTTAGAGAATTGGTACCTTAGCAATGGAGATGTGACAACTAATTCAATCCTATTCAAAAGCCCGCTTGTATGTACATGCTTGCGCAAATTATCAACCTGATACAAGAGCTAAAGATTGTCATACCCTATAGTCACCGTTAAGGACTTTGTTCTAGACTGAAAAACAAAATAAAGGTAAGAGATTCAACTTTGTATCACAGGAAGTTAGCTGTTCCCAACCTGTTGCCAGCCCAGTGGAGTAAGGTATGCGTCGAAATATTCTGGAGACATATATGCTTTATAGTTCTTATCTCCTTCCACATTATGAATTCCTTGAGCATGCCTCACCTAAGTTATAGTTTAATAAGACCACAGAGACCATTAAATTGTGTGCAAAAGCCAAGAGAAAGGACAATCTTAAGTATCCTTCAAACTTAAAAGAGGGAGTAAATTGGAATACTCAGAGCATGATACTGAATATCTAGAAAATTTGAATATACCAACCAGGTAAATAGTTTTGCACCGGTGCAATGGATACAGACTTGGAAATTCACCACTGTCCATGCTAGCAACTGTAAGAAACAAAAAAAGATCCATTCATAAAATAAAAACTCAGAAAGTAGCTCCCAAAAATGCTATATGGCATAAAAACTCTTGGCAACATTGTGCAGGCACAAACACAGATACATGTGAACAATAGAGCTCCAACACTGGGACGTCAAGACCAATTGTTTTTGGTGATGATTGACCAAATTTCAAAGCAGGGAAAAGAACTGCTTGGTATACTCTTACCAATTCAAAATTAAAGAACAGCTGTTGAGCATTTTGGAAATGGAAGCTCCGTGTAACTGCCAGACAACCACATGCAGTCTACATGGGCAACAAACATTTTTCTGTCTTTTACTCCCCAAGAATTTTTAAATTGCACTATATTCTTAAAATTTTTAAATGATAATTTCAATCCTTATAAAGCCAGATCACGAAACCAAAAAATAAAAAAAGAAAAGAAAAGAAAAAAAAGTTCGGCAAAAATATGAGGTTGGCCCCTCAAATACACAGCTCAGCTACCTCGCCTCTAAAGTCTCTAATCCTGCATACAAATTATGTTTTGGGATGACAAAAATCAACTCTACTCACTTAAAGAAGAGTGAAAAGCCAAAAGAAGAAAACAGAAAGGAAAAACATCTGGTATATAGAATGTCGACAAAATATCAAAAGCTAAGCGTTTTTCATCTAAAATGAATCTGAAATGAGCAAAAAGAACAGTAACATTCCAATTTATATTTAAATTTTTTTTTTAAAAAAAAACAAAATGCAGCGAGCAGATTGGGAAGAAGAAAAAGGTTGAGCTTTTTGGACTTACAGCATCGACGAGGAGGAGGGAGGCGGAGCAGATGCAATCGGGAAGCTGCACAAGTTGGAATTGTTAGGAGCGGTGTAGAGGGAATCGATGATGATAATCCGAATCGAAACGATGAAGTTGACGACGATGAAAATGAAGCAGAAGAGGCTGAGAGGGATGAAGACACCAATCTTGAGTCTTCGCCAACGCCACCGATTGCAATGGTGGTGGCCTTATTATTAGTGATACAGATACTGGTGGCGCTGGCGGCTACAGTCATAGAGTCCCCCTCCTTTATAACAAGTAGTACAATAAGTATCACTTGTTATTAAAAATTAATTAAAAAAAATGGAGGAAGTGACAAGTGATAGAAGAATCTAAATTATCGGAAGAATTATACTATTCATCGCTCCAGATTTACATCTGAATGCAGTGAATGAAAACGACTGGCTGGCCTTTTTTATACGCCCATTGGTCAATTTCACATGAAAAGCGTGTAATCAAATCCAATTCAGCTCCAGGAGTGACTGAAGCTCGTCCAAATCCAGCTTAATTTGAGTTCAATAGAATATAATTGAATTTAAAAAATATAAATTCATATTTTATATAATTTTAAATAAGAATAAAAGGACATTTTATACTAATAAATAGAAAAGAACATATATATATATATATATACATACATACATACACGTGTGTGTGCGTGAAAAATTCGATTGAATTTGATTGAGCTGACAAATTTCTAATCTTTACATGTTAGAATTCAAATTGACTCGTAAAGCATGAGTTGGATTGCACGAAGTCGAACTCAGAGTTTAAAATCATACAAGTTAGAATTGGAATTTTGACCAAATAAGTTCAAACTGAATACGAGTTCGGGTTGAAATATTGACCCGAGCCAAACTGGATTCGTTTGCACCTTCACCCCCCTAAAATTCTTTCCACTTTTCAAACTTTCCCCCCACACCCAACTTTCCGAACTCTCCCCGTAACTTGGAACGACCTTAACGAACGGCGTCGCTTTGGTTCAATTTGTTTTCTCCTCCAGTCCAGAGTCGCCTGCAATCTCCTCGTGCTGCAGGATGATTTGCAATGGCATCTAAGTTGAATTCCAGGTTCTTTACCCGGCTAATCTTACCAGCCTTCGTCCTCCTTTTCGTCTATTCCACTACCCTCCTCTATACTCCCTCTGGACCCGCAAACAAATCCCAGATTGCAATTTCAACCCCACACCCGGACCCAAACCCATGCAACATCTTCGAAGGCAAGTGGGTAACCGACCCAAGTCGCAAGCCCATGTATGATGAGACCTGCCCTTTTCACAGAAACGCCTGGAACTGCCTCAGAAACCAAAGGGCTCACATGGGTCGGATCAATTCTTGGAGATGGGAGCCCCAAGACTGTGTTTTGAACCGGGTTGACCCGGAGAAGTTCTTGGGTATGATGAGAAATAAGAACATTGGGCTTGTCGGGGATTCGTTGAACGAGAATTTTTTGGTTTCGTTATTGTGTATTTGGAGAGTGGCTGACGAGGGTGCTAAGAAGTGGAAGAGGAAAGGGGCTTGGAGAGGAGCTTATTTTCCTAAGTTCAATGTTACTGTTGCTTATCATCGTGCTGTTTTGCTGGCCAAATACCAGTGAGTATACTGAATTTGTTGCCTTTTCTTTTCGTTTTCAATTTTTCAGTACATTTATTTGGTTATCTTGAAGTTGAATTCTGCTTAGATTTAGTCCTTGTCTCATTAATTTTGACAAAGATGTCAACTTTCACTGGAAACGAACTTGATATGTATAATCAAAAAAATAAACTTGAAATGTTTGATTGGCCTTTATATGCATCTCAAGAATCTGCTGTGGGGAAAAAGGATGAAGCATTACCAAGAAGATATGTTTGCAAGCATATGGGTATGGATGATTTTGTGTTTCATCTTGTTTCCTATTCTGCTTTTCTAAGCTAGAGGTGACGGGAAAGAAAAAGAGGAAGTAGAGCAACTTAAGCAGCTGCTTGTCGAAAATAATCTGATCCAAAACCATAAATGTTCTACATCATTTTTTAGTTATTTTTCCCGATTGTATTAATAACTTTTGGTTATTTTATTACCTTTTTTCAGTATAGATGGCTAAATGGAACGGCATCTTTGAAGTTGTTACTTTACTCTTCTTTTCTTAAATTGGAAAAAATGCATTGGTCTTATAATCCATCTTGTGATGCATTTAGTGTTTGGAAACTACAATCTACATTGCAATATGTCACTAATTAACCAGCGGGAACACTCTTGCGCCTGCAGCAGTATTCACATATTACTGACAAAGTTTGATCTTGATCATAAATATGTATTACAGCTACATGATTTTGTTCAGTGGTCACCTATATGTAATTGTTTTAGCAAGTAGAGGAATATTTCTGACATCAATTAGATGTTTGCCATTTGGTGGTAATAAATAGGAGTATAGGACAACTGCTAGTTTTTGACTCGACAAAAAAGCTGATTGACTCATGGCAGCTTCTTGATTTTCGTCCTGCGATGATTGATTTTTTGTTTTGAACAAAAAACTTGAATGTATAAATTCATCACATTCATGCTTCCAGTTGTCAAATCATGTAATACTGTGACAAAAGTTGGGTTTGATCTTGAAAATTCATCAAGATTGACAGACCCCTTTTTTCTATCTGAAATGACTTACAGCTTTCATCTGTTATTCATTGAGATTTTGTTCATCTACTTTGGAAATGGCAAGCTTACTTGCTCTTACTGATTAAAAAAAGGTGGCAGCCAAAAGATTCTGTGCTTTCTGATGGAGATGGAGTAAAAGGAACATATCGGGTGGATGTTGATATTCCTGCAGATGAATGGGCCAACATTGCTGATTTCTATGATGTTTTAGTATTCAATACTGGTCATTGGTAATTCTACGTTCTTTTTTCCCTCAAAGTTAATAGAATAGCCAAGTTTTTGTATTACTTATCAATCCTGATATGAATTCTCAACCAGTTTAGCCTTGTGAATAGAAATATCCTTGCAAGACGCAAAAACATATATTACAGGCTGGAATTTAAGTTCATACATCATCATTAATATGATGCAGTAATTCTGCCTTGTCCTGAATATTTGTTACATCAATCCTTCGGTGCTGTTTGGGCAGTCAGTAGTGTGCTTCTTTTGTTGGTGCTATATGATGATTTTCAATTCAACTTGGAGATATATGATAGTAACATTTGAAGCTTGGCTGATCCTTTTCTGTTTATGGAAATCTAGGAACAGATATGGCTGATCCTTTTCAGACGTGTTTGGTTTTTGTTCTGATGGGTTATCTTCTCCAGGTGGGGCTACGATAAGTTTCCTAGAGAGACTCCACTTGTATTTTATAAGGCTGGGAAACCAATACATCCTCCCTTTGAAATGTTGGATGGACTTAAAGTTGTTCTTAAATCTATGGTTGCTCACATATGGGAAAAATTCCCTGAAAAGACACTGAAGTTTTGGCGGTTGCAATCACCAAGACATTTTCATGGTGGTGAATGGAATCAAAATGGTAGTTGCGTGTTTGATGAGCCTCTCGAAGAACCTCAGGTATAAATCGTGCATGCTACCAGCTTGTTACCTTTTATTGTTTTGGTCTTCTACTCTTCCTTGCCTGGACATTTCAGTTTTCTTTTGAAAATATGTCAAAATAAGATTAAATTGTTTCAAAGTTTTTGTCTTTAAAAGCCTAGGTTACTATTTTCAAGCATTTAGAGATATTCTGTAGTTTGTGTCCTTTTGAAGCGTTCTTCTCTTTCAAGGACTGTTACTGCAAATAGGAAGAGGATGATTTCAATAGAGGAAATTATCTTCAGCAGCAGTCTTTTCCTATAATATAGCTAAGAACAGTTTCCTCCTGATACCTGAACAGCTTGACTTGTGGTTCAACCCCAGCAACAATGGTGTAAACAAAGAAGCCAGACTGCTTAATCATCTAATCCAGGAGGCATTGAAAGGCACAGATATCAAAACACTTGATCTGACTCATATGAGCGAGTACAGATCAGATGCCCATCCAGCAATTTGGTTGGGAAAGAAGGACGCGGTGGCTGAATGGGGTCAGGACTGCATGCACTGGTGCCTTCCAGGTGTTCCTGACACATGGGTTGATATCTTGTCACAGCTGATCCATTATCACCTGGGAAGTGGGTAATTGCTGCAGGCTTCATGTGGAGGTCTACCGTTTCTGGGAAAATCATACTGAAGTTTCTGCAGCTGCTGCTCCAGATGCATAACTGTAGTGAAATGCGATTTGGCAGTTAGATTTGTAACATCAGATTGTTGAGGCTTCTGCAGAGCACCATCATGCAGCAGCTATGGAGTCTGAAGGAACAATATAAGAACTATTATTCTTCACCCCGTTTTGCTTTCATTTATGGGTGGGGATAGGGAATGTAACCAGACTTACCTTGAGCACATTGTCATGTGAAATATTTTCCAGTTCCCTTCTTTATCCCCTTCCTGGGGATGAGGCTGCTGGAGATGCAAATAGAGATGGTGAACAAGTAAAAGCTACATAGGTTGACAGCTGAGATGAAACTTAGATTGGATTGATCTGTATCATCCACAACACATAACTAATTTATTGTTGTTCATGATTCATTTATTCTTTATCTGGGTTCTAGTTAATACATCTTGCCCTTTGCCTGTCAGTGCTTTGAAATCCCATCGTACATGCAATAATCGTATAGGCATCCTGAAAGCAAATCTGATTCGGCCGAGGGCACCTCTGCACAAGTGGTTCTTGATGCGGCCGAGTTAAAGAGCACTGTATAGTATTTGTTTTATTGCATTCGCTGAAAATCTGATGTGCACGTTACGAGGTTTAGGAGGCCTACCTATCAGCTCCATTGGATTGAAAATTATTATTTGGCTTGATGCTAACTACTGCAACATTATTCATGCTTTACCAAATAAAGCCTCGCAAAATTTGCTCAAAAGAGAAATGACATCATTTTCTAAAATGCCGTCCTCAATGGACATGCTGGGCGGGGAGGTGAAAGCCCAAGAGGCCCAAAACTACAAGAGTCGTTCGCAGAATTGACCTTCCTACTCTATCCTAATCTAGGGGAGACGTGAGGCTAAGGAGGCTGTGGTAGGGGATTAGTGAGTATACAGATTCAACTAAATTAAGGGAGTGTTATGACATAATTCTTAGATTTTTTTCGCTACGGGCGAAATTTGAACCTTCACCTACAATCCAATGAGGACTTAAGTCCCTCCCTGGTGGCACTGGCGTGGTTGGTTCGCAGAATTGACCAAGAGTATGAATTCGTATGAAAGCTTGCGAGCAGGAGGCTAATTGACCAAATTGCTCTAACTGCCGGAAGAAACCGAAGGTGAACCGCCTGACGCCGACTCAAATCAAGAATCTCACAGAAATTTCATAACATACCAACGAAGATCAAATCAAGCCTCCAACTCTCAGTATTAGAGATCTAAACCCACAAATTTTTCTCAATGTCCTTCAGAGTTAATCTTTTCGCCCCAAGACCCCTTCAACAATTCCCAAAACTCCAAACCAATACATTCCTCTCGTATTCTTCCTCCAGGCCCCAGCTCATTAACACATCGTCGAGGCTTCGATTCTCGATTTCATGCACCAGCGGCAATAACAGCTTGAGCGACGCAGAGCTTGCATTAAAGTTGGCCAGAGAGGTTGAAAAATTGAACTCTCAAATCGTACAAAGAGAGGAGGCCTTGAATAAGAGCAGAGAACTCTTGTTTAATGAGTTGAGCAGCTACATGGGCTCGAAAGTTGAAGAAGCCGGGAAGAAATGGAGGAAATTGAGCGAAGATGAAAAGTGGGCTGTGGTTAATGGGTTTGTTTCTGAATGGAGTGATAACTTTCATCCCTTGTCTGCTAGATCTGTCAAAGAATTAGTTGATGAATACTTGGTTGATGAGAAAAAGGCCCTGGTTGATTCTGGTACAATGTTATTTCCTAGTTTGAGAAAATTAATAGGATTCTCAGGACACGATTCGAGCAGTAAAGGATAAGGTTTATGTATTTTAGGATTCTTTTTTGTTTCGTCATCCATTTTGGAAATGTTAACGTTCCATGCATGAGAATCCCTCTGAAACTGTGTCTCGGCAGCTGGAATCGTTAGCTTCTATTGATCATTCTTTCTGTCAGTAGAGAAGGGCAAACGCCAGTTTGCCTCAAGACTCTATTTTTTTCCCCCTTAGTACAGACCTCCAGCTAGTTTGCCTTGAGACTCTATTTTTCTTTTTCCCTTGGTGCAGACCTCCAACTGCTAGATGCTTTCAACATAAGCGCAACTTTTGCCATTGTTTGAACAAATCCTAGCGTGTCCAAGAAATAGAATGAAAGCTCTTGAATTTTCCCCAATGGCTCAATAAAGAACCGTTAAAATGGTTAGGAAGAATTCCTTGCTACTTATTAAATTAGAATTTTTTTAAAATTTTTTTTCCAGAAACAAACAGGATTAAGATAGTTTTGGGATGAGATATGGATTTGCCACAGAGCTCAAAGGAACAAGATGCCAGTGGAAAAATATTTAGTGCAGCTAAGGACTGGGAAGCGCATGCTGGCGATCACACTGTAACACCCAGCAGCAAGAGCAAATGAGAAGCCAAAGGCTCCATTCTCTCTGCACAGTAAACAGAGAGAATATTGTGACAAGAGAACATTGCTACCTCATGTTCTACCAATCTATTTAACTTTAACCAACACCAATGAGAAGCATGAATTGCCGGACATAGTAGTATCTCATGCACGGTCAAGACCCTGTCAAAAACATATGCTACTAGGTACAGAAGCCATCAAACTTTTAAAGAATTCTATGCACAAAACTCCATAAAATACCACTTAAAAAACCACCCTAAGACATTTTTACGGAAAAGCAGTGACGCGGGGAGTCCATATCAAAAGAACAGCTGTCTACACTGTGTAACTGAAGCATCCTGCGGACAGTATGGACACTTGAAGCTCCGCGTACTGTTTTTAGATAGCTTATGGATTGAGTGCTTGCAGAGGACGTGACCGCAGGGCAATAACATGGGTGGATTCTCTTCACTGCCTTGCTCCCTACTAACTGGGCAGACAAATATTGAGTGATATTGAAATTCCTTCCCCAACTCCACTGGTACTGGCAACTGCTTCATTGCTAGCCACTCCTGTTTCTTTGCAGCCATTACAGTTGCCAACTTCAACAAGGTAGGCAAACCTTCAATCCCAGCAGCTAGAGCCACACTCAGAGGACTTGGCGATGACTGCCCCAAGAAACTGCAAAACTGCTCAGTTATTTCCTCTGTCATTTTCTCCCAGTTGCTTGGGTCAACCAACTCAGAATAAGGCGATGAGTCCAGCTTTCCTACCCACAAGAGACAACCCATGAGCTTCTGTATTTCGTCCATGTGAACAGAAGCCAAAGGAGCAAGATATGTTTTGGCATAGTCAAGTGCATCTGCTTGGCATCTTTTCTGCAAAATCTCCACAAACTGCAGCTTATGAAGTTTTAGCTTAAGGAACAAACCACATTCTTTCAGTTGTTCAAAGTTTTCAGAAACCCACTGCAGAGCAGGCTCCAGGTTCCTCAATTTCATAGCCTCAAGAATTTCATGCAGCTCAACGAACTTCAATCTAAGTGAAATGGCCTCTGGTTCTCCAGCCTCTTGTATTAAGGAATCAGCAACATCAAACAAACCTTCACGGTAAAAATGGTTGAGGATGATCTGATGTAAGGTGTGTGGATCAAAATCAACATTCCTATAAGCCTTTGATATATCAGGATTTAGAGTCTTGTCAAGGACCTTCTGGTACTTGTTCAGACTTAGGTTTAACTCTTTCTGTGATCCCTCTAGCTGATTCAAGGGGGCAATCATATTGAGCTTATTTCTAAGTTCATCAAGAATAGATCTCTGATCGATTGGAGATGTAGCAACATCATCAGATTGAATGTCTACTAAAGCCCAGGTAGCAACATGATCTGATTGAATGTCAACCAATGCCTGTTCAACTTCATGCCTGACCTGGTCAATCACTTCCTGGGATTTGGAAATAGATAATTTTTGCTTCTTACCAACTCGATCAAATGCATCTCTCAAAGAACTCAGCGGCATTTCCAGACTGCTGGTGCTCATAAATTCCTGCAACAGGTTACATGAAAATTTGACTCATCACAAAATAAATGTGTAATAAGAAAAGGATTTGAACCATCCACACATCTCCAAGTTAACAGACACTCAGAAAGAAAATCCAACTTCAGCTCCTGATGTATCCGATTTGCATGCTCGTGGAATCAAATTATATACCAGACAAGATATTATCATTAAACACTAGTCCCCTTCCAATCTTCCTCTGATCACCAGATACATCAAATCTCAAATTTGAAAATACACAAATAATCAAAGCAAGAATAGCTAACACGCTTGTAGGTCGCCAACACGATGTCACCTGTCATTAATGGAACACTTGAAAGCCATGCACCAAATAATAGCTTTCCAAAATGATTCTATCACTTAAAATTTTTTGTAGTATTTTCCCCCTTAACATCATAAATAATTCCTTTTTTGCCAGGGTCCAAAAACCCAACAGCCGATCATGCAAGAACTAAGTCAGATGCAAAAAGAAAATGGCGATGACTTCCACCAAATAAGCCTCTAAACCCTGCACACAACTCACTAACCAAATATTTCTTAACTTAATTAGAAAAAGAAAAAGGCCTATGATCGTCGTCACCTGGGGAGGAGTCTCCAGTAAATAAATAAACCCATATTGGCATAGGAAAATGAAAAGAAACAGATTATCAGAATTCCCAATTAGTTGGCAAAGCAAGAAGCAGTAACCATGTAATCCTGCAATTGTGGTGTATTATTTAGGCAAGAAAATGATCATGTAATCGGAAACGGGAAAGGGTGCAGGGAATTAAATAAATACGAGGAAAGAATAAAAGTTACAGTACCTAAATACGGCTGGGAGAGTCGGGGGATTAGAGAACTCTGTGTGAGGAAGCGAAGAGCAGACTATCGAGGGCAACTCGTAGACTGTGGGAGTCCAATTCGCCGACGAACGGCACACGTGTGCTACTGCTATGGGTTTTGTCGCCAGAATTCTACGTATGAAATCTATATAAATAGTACTAAAATATCACACCTTGACTGTATTTGATTTTGCTTTAGTATGTACTGTCATTTAAGTTGGAGATTTTTTTTTTATATATACTAAAAATTTGAATGACTATATACACGAAATTCTGTGAAGGAAAATATTTGCAAATTAAGATTAATTATGTGAAGGGAATATTTTCAAAATAAGATTTTCATTACATTTTCTAATAGTTTTTTTTTTTTTTTTGGGGTGAGGGAGTAGGGATCCAATGATGTTAATGATTGTTGGAAGAATGTATTAAAATTTATGGGTAGGTTGAACGATGTACGTTAAAAATTATAAAGAATTTTAATTTTTTTCCTGAAAATTAAAACAATAACAATTTAAAAAGTAAACAAAGATTGAAACTATCCCTCATCAAACGTAATACTATTGCAAAGAGTTGGCAAAGGCGATTTGAAAATCAATAGCGTCTGTTAAATTAAATAAATGCCAATCTTCTATTTCTCTCCGTTGGAAAATTACTTTTTTTCTTTTTATATTATTGATTGTCCATTAATAAACACTACCATATTATTGATTTTGTTGGGTCCGCACGCCTCATCCCAATCAAAATCTTGAACGGAACTAAAACCCAAGAAACATATAAAAAGGTTTCCGAATCAGAAATGAGGCAGGGACGGTCATACCGATGACCGTCCTTGAACGGTTAATGGTCATAGTCTGACCTCCAAAATTTGTATGACTGAGATTACAAGTTGTAACTCGATTTCCACGCCATGTGTGAATCTCATAAAAATTTGCTCTAAAGTTACACGATATGCAAAAAAAGTTACACAATATACAAAAAAAATTATGCGTAATTGAAAATGACCAAAATCGTCCGGGACGATTGCAGGCCCCGAGTCCGACCGAATCACATTCCCCTGAATCCGCTCCTTGAGACAAAATATCAATTCTTCAATGAGTCTTTCGCCCTTGTTTTCGCTTTTGTTTTCGAGTTTCCTTCCCGTTGTTTGTCTACTGTCCCAACAAAAATTTGAAGAGTTAAAAAGACGAGCAACTTCATAGAACAACTCCATTTTCCTTTCCTGTTTCCGACAAGACAAAAATCACACCCAAGGCAGACGAAAAAGAAACAAGCCCTTTGCCCGTATGAATAACCAATAATTGAATCACTGTAATTACCTAAAACAGAAACTTTCTTAATCCATTGCTTTCCTCCGGTTAAGGGAGTTAGTAATGAAAGCTGACAAAATCAGCTTCAGCCTAAATAAGCTTTTATCTACTTCCCTGTTATCTTACTTCCTCGAATGCCGAGCTCAATTCTCTATCCACTTTGGAAACTGTGGGTTTCTAGGATGCCGGATATACAGTACAATAAAAGTACAGACTTACAGCACTCCCCGTTTGAGGAGTTAGGACGATAACTAGCCATGATACTCGAACAAAATACCACTGTAGGAAGGTTCTGTTCATCTCAATCCCGGTTGGAAAGTCCAACCACCTTGGGAGCTTACTTCTGGTTTTTTTCCATCTTGCTCCTTATCTTCTCTTCCAAAACAGAAATCTCTGTATCCAGTCCAAATATCCTGTTAAGAGCATGCATATTCTCAAGAGTCTCGCCGAGAGACCGGTTGCCAGTACCACCACACCTCAGGTGCTCCATTGGTCCGTGAAGTAGCTTGTTGACAATACCCATACTCAAGTCATATATAGCTTTCTTTTGGCTCTTTGACACATCATTTCCCATTTTTGACATACACTTGTCGAGCTCTGAAGCTCTAATTCTTTCAGCGTAAGCACGAAGCTTTTTAATGGTTGGAACAGTCTCGAGGGAGTCTTTCCAAGCTTCAAATTTAACGACTTCCTCCCAAATAATTCCCTGAGCTTCCGTTGCTTTCTGCAATCGGTCCTCCTTCGTAGCTGCCACAACTTCCTTAAGATCATCGACATTGTAAACACGTGCGGTTTCAAGATCCGAAACAGGTGATTCCACATTTCGAGGAACAGATATGTCAATAAATAGTCTATGTCCAATATCAGGCCTGACAGGGGGAAGTGTCTGAACATGCTTTTTCAGGAACAATGGCGCATCTGAAGCTGTGCAAGTAAATATTACATCAGCTTCAGCAGCACATGTGAACATCTCCGACAAAGATCTGTAGACTATCTCAACATCCTTAAACTCGTCTTTAATGGCTGAAACTCTGTCTTCAGTTCTGTTGACTACCACCATTTTCGTGCACCCTTTTGCAACCAAGTGTTTGATGACAAGTTTGCCCATCTTGCCAGCTCCAACAACTAACACTCTGGCAGTTGTGTAAGAAGACTGTGGAAGCTTAATCTGAGCAAGCTCCACAGCAGCTGAACTAACAGAAACCGACCCAGTTGAGATGCTAGTTTCAGTTCTAACTCTCTTTCCAGCTGTGATAGCATGCTTAAACATCCCGCTCATCTTCCTGCCAAAGCCAGGGACACCCTGTCCAGAGTTAACCACATGTTTTACCTGTGCTAGAATTTGGCCTTCTCCAAGAACAAGAGAATCAAGCCCAGAAGATACTTCAAATAAATGCCGTGTGACATCCTTGTTATATAGCAAAAAGCGATGCTGACACAGCTCTGATGTAGGAACTCCACTTTTCTGACAATGAAGAAAAGAAAAGTCAAAGCTAAGTTTGTCATACAATTCATATGCACTAAAGAGCCTTTCTCAACCAACATCATTAGTGTGAGCTCAACGGCAACAACAGAAGAAAAAATGAGCAACAACAACAACAACAGAAGTCCTTATGGAGACAAGAGGAAGAATGTTTCACTCCAGAAACAACCACAACAGGTTGCACCACTTATTGTTGCAGTTGTCGACATAATGTTCCAAATTCTTAGTCAGGATATGAATTTGAATATTCTTATTTATATAAAAACTAACTAGAGCACCAAAAATCATTTCATGAAACCTGAAGCATGAACAAGTTGCTAAACTAGCAAAATTAAATACTTTTTATTCTTTTTTGGAACAAACACTTCTACTGTTTCTTCTATTGATGTCTCAAAAAAATTTCATTGCCAAATACGAGGATAACAAACAGGACTAAAACTGCTCATCAGATAAATGGAATAGATTGGAACCTTAGACATCCAGTCCATGACTTCTTTGACCCCACGATGCTGAGACAGAGCCACAACATATATCTCCATCCTGTTACATGTACTCAGAATAGCAGCTTCATCAATATGATGTAAACCACAAAGTTCACTAATTGATTGAGGCCATTGAGCTTCTGGAATGGATAGTTTCTCTCTGATCTCAACAGGAGTGGTCCGAAAGTTTATCCCTATAACCATAATACTGCTACTTTCCTTCGTATACCCTGAAAAGAGAAACAGTACATATACCCTAATCAGTTTCCTGCAGTTGTAATCAATATAAGTCATATCTAACTGCATTGTAAACAACTATAAGAGGCAATCCCCACAGGAAAATCTTCTTTTTGCTGTTCTGCAGTACCTTGCTCAAAAATTTTATCATGTTGGGATATCTCTTATTTATCAACTAATCGCTGCAATTTTCGAGATAATGCCCAACAAGAAAGGCTATTAAGGCAAATATTAATACTTAAAACAGCAATTGAATGCTCATAAAGTTGCCCAAGTTCCAAACCATGTACTTGAATAGCTCCAATACGTGATCAAACAAGTTAAAATTGAGAACCTACTTAATTTCTTTGTTTTCTTTTTTTCTCTATAACAAAAAAGTTCGACCCTTTTGCTTTATGATGCTTCACATCTCCAATTAAACTCGCACATGAACACCAAAAATAGAAATCAACATCAAGTCCGCTTTTGTTTCTCAGCCAAATTAAAAAAAAAAAAGTGTTATACGCCCAAAAAACCCAGATGAAAATTTAGAATCCCAGGTCACAGGAAAAAGAAAAATAGACTGAGAACAATAATAATGAGCTACACATACAAATAAACAGTACTATCTTACATGCAGTTTGCATATGCGGCAAGCAAGCCCACGTTCAAGATAAAAAAAATACAAAATAAAAAGGATAGGAGGCTTACGATCAGCGGCAGATGTTTTGAGGAGCTCCAAAGCCGAGAGACTCGAAGCCCTGGATCCGATCTCGTCTACAACTTGGCATTTAGGGTTTAACGAAAGCGGCCTTGTTTTCTTCTTAACCTTCAACCCCTTTCGAAGAGTTCGAGCTTGATAGGGAAAAGTAGCTGAAGAAGAAGAAGAAGAAGAAGAAAACTGAGCAAAGCTGCCTAAATTATTGAAACGGAGAAGCCCACTGGTATCCATTCCCAATTTCGAATCCAAAAATCCAATTGAAGTCACGAAGCCACTCGCAGCCGCCATAAAAATCGATAGAAAGACTAAATTCACAAATTAATTAATTCAATCAATCAGAATTAGCAGAAAGAAGAAAAATCAAGCGAGACAGCTCCGAGACCCCTTTTCTTATATACTAGTATTATGTGATTGAAGATGATGAATAAAACCAATTTTCAGAAGAATTCAATGACGAATGGGAGCGTAATCAAATGGGTTAGGTGGAACGAGCAGGAACTTTTCAAAGTTCCCAACTCCCAGGCGTTGGATTGGTTGAATAATATTGGGTTGGAAGGGATGGGGCGGGCTTTATAGTTGACATTTTTGACGCTCTTTTTTCTTGAATTTCAATTCCTATTTTTCCTTCTTCTACAAGGACAACTCGGGCGTGCGCTAACCACGCGGCTTTAACCTTGCAGGTGTTTTCCTAGTAGAACTCTGATGAGATGGAGCTTGGTCGGAAAATGGAAATTGGATCTTGAATGGGTAGGCCGCCCGTGAGCATGTTGTTTGACCAAAAGAAAAAGGGCAAAACGGGTACGCATGCTTCGCACGTGCTATATTGTATTGACCTTCCAAACCATTTTTTAGTTCTTTTAAATGTTTTTGTTTATAAGGAAAGCACGTAATTGATTTTGAATTCCAAAATTGCGAGAGTTTCCTAGTTA